TCAGAAACCCAAAATAGCAAAGACAATCTTAAAATTTAAAAAGAACAAAGGTAGAGAACTCACACTTCCCATGTCAAAACTTACTAAAGCAACAATAATTAAGCTAGTATGGCACTAGCATAAGGATAGACATAAAGATAAATGGAAAATGCTGACAGTCCAGAAATAAACACACACATCTATGACCAACTGATTTTCAATAAGGGTGCCAAGATCATTCAACAAGTAATTGCAACAAATGGGTCTAAGACAACTGAATAACCACATGCAAAAGAATGAAATTGGACACTTACCTTGAATCATACTTTTAAAATTAACTCAAAATGTGTCAAAGATCTAAGTATAAACTAATGTATAGCTAAAAGTATAAAATTCTTAGAAGACTATATAAGTAAATCTTTATGACCTCAGATTTGGCAATGGATTTTTAGATTTGACTCCAGAAACATGAGTAATAAAAAATAAATAAAGGCAAGGCATGGCGGCTCATGCCTGTAATTCCAAGACTTTCAGAGGCTGAGGAAGGAGGATTGCTTGAGCCAGGAGTCTCAGACCAGCCTTAGCAACATGATGAGACCCCATCGCTACAAAAAATATAAAAATTAGCCAGGTGTGATGGCATGTGCCTGTAGCCCCAGCTATTGGGGAGGCTGAGGTGGGAGAATTGCTTGACACTGGGAGGTTGAGGCTACCGAGAGCTGTGACTGCACCACTGCACTCCAGCCTGGATGGGAAAGCAAGGCTCTGTCTTAAAAAAATAAATAAATAAATAAATAAATAAATAAATAAATAAATAAATAAAGCCAGGTGCAGTGGCTAACGCCTGTAATCCCAGCACTTTGGGAGGCTGAGGTAGGCAAACTGCTTGAGGTTGAGAGTTTGAGAAGAGCCTGGGCAACAAAGCGAGACCCCATCTATACAAAAAATAAAAAATTAGCTGAGCATGGTGTGTGTGCCTATAGTCCCAGCTACTTGAGAGGCTGAGGCAGGAGTTTAAGGCTTGTGCCCAAGAGTTTGAGGTTGCTGTGAGCTAAAATCATGCCACTGCACCTCAGCTTGGGCAACAGAGTGAGACCTTATCTCAAAAAAACAAAATAAATAAATAAACTAGACTTCTTCAAAACTAAAAACTTTTGGATTTCAAAGGACACCATCAAGAAGATGAAATGATGGGAGAAAACATTTGCAGATCATATATCTGATAAGAAACTTATATCTTTAATATATAAGAACTCATACAACTCAATAATTTTTTAAAAGTCCAATTAAAAATGAACCATGGGTCTGAACATGTATTTTTCCAAGTAAGATATACAAATGGCCAATAAGAACATAAAAAGATGCTCAAGGCCGGGCTCTGTGGCTCACACCTGTAATATCAGCACTTTGGAAGGTCAAGGCACACAGATCACCTGAGGTCAGGAGTTCAAGATCAGCCTGGTCAACATGGTGAAACCTTGTCACTACTAAAAATACCAAAAAAAAAAAAAAAAAAAAAATACCCAGGCATGGTGGCAGGTGCCTGTAATCCCAGCTACTTGGGAGGTTGAGGCAGGAGAATTGCTTGAACCTGGGAGGTAGAAGTTGCAGTAAGCTGAGCCCACCATCACACTCCAGCCTGAGCAACAAGATCAAAACTCCATCACAAAAAAAAAAAAAAAAAAAAAGATCCTCAGCACCATTAGTCATCAGTGAAACACAAATCAAAACTATGAGATACCACTTCACACCTACTATGACAGAATCGAAGAAGTCAGATAGTAATAAATGTTGGTGGGGATACGGAGAAATCAGAACCCTCATGTCCTGCTAGTGGTAATGCGAAATGATGCAACCACTTTGGAAAAGAATCTAGAAGTTCCTCTAACACTTAAACATAGAATTACCATATGACACAGCAATTTGACTCTAAAGTATCTATCCAAGAGCAATGAAAACAAATGTCCATACAAAAAAAACTTATACATACATGTTTGTAGTAGCATGATTCATAATAGCCAAAATTTGGAAACAACCCAAATGTCCATCAGCTGATGAATATATAAACAAAAGGTAGTATCTATACAGTGGAATATTACTTGGCCATAAAAAAGAAAAGAACAAAATACTGATTTATGTTACAACATAAATGAAGAGCATACAGGTTTTAGAATCAGATACATCTAGCTTTTAAAAACATGCTAAGTGTAAGAAGCCAGACACAAAAGGCCACCTATTATACAATTCTGTTTATATAAAATATCCAGAATAGCCAGGTGCGGTGGCTCAAGCCTGTAATCCCAGCACTTTGGGAGGCCAAGGCAGGTGGATCACAAGGTTGAGAGATCGAGACCATCCTGGTGAACATGGTGAAACCCCGTCTCTACTAAAAATACAAAAAATTAGCTGGGCATGGTGGCACATGCCTGTAATCCCAGCTACTCAGGAGGCTGAGGCAGGAGAATTGCTTGAACCCAGGAGGTGGAGGTTGCGGTGAGCCGAGATTTCGCCATTGCACTCCAGCCTGGGTAACAAGAGCAAAACTCCGTCTCAAAAAAATATATATATATATTCAGAATAGGCAAATTCATACAGATCGAAAGTAGTAGTAGCTGCTTAGGTCTGGGGGAAGGGGAGAAGGAAGAGGAAAGGAGAGTTATAGCTAAAGGATGTGAAGTTTCTTTTTGAGTTGATAAAAATATTCCAAACTTGACTGTGGTAATGATTGCACGTATTTGTGAATATACAAAAAAGGAACTGAATTTTGTGTTAAATGGGTGAATTGTACAGTATTTGAATTATATTTCAAGGAAGCTGTTTTTTTTTAAAGAGAACAAATAGTGATGAATATATGGGGCTTCATTTTGTTATTCCTTATACTTTTGCTTGTGCTTCAAATTCCACAAAAAAAAATAAGTTTAACTTTTTTTTTTTTTTTTTAAGTAGAACACTCCTGTATTTTGGCCACATTTACTGCTATTTAAGAACAATAGGCCAGGCACAGAGGCACACACACCTGTAATTCCAGCACTATGGGAGGCCAAGGAGGTTGGATCACATGAGCTGAGGAGTTCAAGACCAGCCTGGGCAACATAGTGAGACTTCGTCTCTACAACAAATAAAGACATTAGCCCAGCATGGCAGAAAAGATAAAAATGATTACAACTTTTTTAATATGAAAAAAAGAACAATAGCAAATTAAATTCAGAAAGTTAGCAAAATAAATTCCACCCTTTCTCCTGGAAGACAACCCAAGCCATCAAGAAAATGAAAAATTAGCCATAAATTGAAACACAAATAAAATAACAACTTGTATTCCAATCTAAGAAAGATATAGGCCTTGACATTGAGATATTAAGATAAGCAGTTGGGTCTAGTACTGATAGGTTAGGAGGAAGGATAGTAAGGAACAAAACTAATAAAATATTTTTCAGTCATGAAACCTGGCTTTTGGGTTACAAAAATAAACAAAAAGTGTTCTAAAGAACAAAAAATAAAATACATATACATTGATTTTTTTAATCTGTCTTGAATAAAAATAAGAAACCAAGGTTTGCATTTTATCCCCTTTTCATTCAGTGTTGATTTCCAGTTTCTCACTGATTTTTCTTTAAGTACTTAGAAAATAAAAACCCAAAATCAGGTTTTTAATGACTTCGCCTTAAAGAAAAATATCTACTAATCATTTACTAAAGCCCAATCAGGATTCTAAATGCTTTCCAAGCATTCTATCTTAATCTTCATAACAAAACAACAAAGTAAATTGTAGATACTATTATTCAGGTATACAGAGAGATTAAGCAACCTGCCCCAGTGGTCTCACTAGTTAAGTGATGTTCAGTACCTGTCCTAGACTGTCTACTCCAGAACCCTAAACAAACATCCTATGCACACCCTCCTCCACGTAGACTATAAAGCAATAGCTCTATTAACACTAGTTCTAATCATTACAAGTTCAAATTGTAGTGAATACATTTGATTAAATACATTTAATACATTTGATTAAATTTGTTAAAAGATTATTAGAAAACAATAATTTGAAGATTTTAACAGGTGCATTCCTATAAATAGGCACAACAGATTAGTTTCTAATACCTTATTAGAATAATAAATGGGAGATAATCTCCTTACCCCCTAAACTCTAGAAATTCTCTTCTATACTTTTCATTTGACCCTTTCTTGAATACTTATGTATATGCATGTTATTTCACAAAACAAGTTTACTGAGATTTAGGTTTCATTTAAGAGGTGGCTCTTTTAACAAATAAAGGTTTTTAAAATTATTCTTTAAAAACTTCTGGGTTTCCTAAAGTTTCTTTTTTTAATTCTTCAGTTTTTTCACGAAAAAAAAATCTCAGCAATTATTTTCTTTAGAAAATGCTAAGTTAGAAAATCTTTCTCTCCCTATATGCTGGCCAACTTAAGACTCATAACTTATCCTTCAGCATCTTTCAAGTTGTTTATCAATGAGTACGTGTAAGATGTGTATACCTATAAGATACAGCTTCATTTTTAAAGTAAAAGTGAGATACCAAAAAATATATACATTTTTCCAGGAAATTGAAGTCAAATGCAGGATTTGACTGGCAGGAGGTTCTGATAAAATAAGTACAGTTTATCTAAACTGCTGTGGTCTCCAAGTAAAAAGAGGAGAAACAATAATCCTATTACGAAAAGGATTAGGGAGTATTAGTACATGCATCCTACTTCAGTTGTAGGCTGGGAACTGCTTTGACCATTTCCTCACAAACCTGTTGAAGTGTCTCAGGAGGATGCTGATGCTCCACGTGACACTCCTCAATGAACTCCTCAAAAATTCTCATCCCCCTTTTCTCAAAGATGTTCACAGAATCTCACACACTTTGTGCTCCTAGTGTTTGTTTATTTGAATGCAAACATCTTCCTAAGAAATCAATCACCTTACAGCCCCCAAACCATTATATTGATTGGAGGATCTGGTTCACAAAACATGGAAATGGCATTCACGTGCCCGAAGTTTAACACCAGACAAACGATCTTACCTGATGCCACGTCAGATGAGCTCTGCCCCACCTTTCTGTGAACCTTAGTTCCGCAAATTTCCCTTTGCCAACGCCTGACAAGGTCCCAGTGAGCAGAGGGAGCAAGAACGGAGAGTGCAGAGAAAAGCAACCTTTGGCTTTACTGTTCCCTCTCGTTCTGGCGTTCGAACTTGTTCCACGTCCCGGGCAAAGAGAGAGCTCCACCAGGCAGCACCACTAGCTCCACAGAGTTGGAGCAATTCCCCCAAAAAGCTCCCCTGCGCCCCCCGTCACCCCCAGAGAGCAGCAGAGGAAACGGCATCTATCCCTTGGAAGACACTAAGCAGACAAGAACAACTGCAAGTCCTTCTGCTCACACAGAGGAGGAAAGGATGGAGGAGGCGGTGAGTGGGATGCAGCAGAAACCCGACGGCCGCAGCGGAAGGGACACCTCCCCTCCTCAGCCTAACTCTGAGCCATCTTCGCCCGGTTGTCATAGCACTTACAACGGATGCCACTGCGCAGGTCACGCCGCGCCGCGCCGTCTTCTGGGGGTTGGAGTCCAGAGCGGCTGAGGCGCGAAGGCGGAGACCGACTTCTGAGCGGGCCGCGGTTGGAATCAGATTTCTACTGGGGCGGGGCTCGAGTGAACCACGAACTAGTCCTCATTAGCAGAGAAGGGTAATTACTGCAATCCTCTGGCCCGTCCTAGCAGCAGTTCTTCAAGGAAGGCCCGCCTCCCGGCTGGGCTTCGGGTGCATGCCACGCCCCTCCGGCCGCGAGCCCGCCCCCTCCCCTCGGCGCGTGTGGGTGGGGCCTAGTAGGGGCGGGGCGTCGCGGGCTTGTCCTTGGTGCTCTAAGATCCCGCGCTTCTTAGAGTCGCTATCGCCCCGAGTCGTCTGTTTTCTTCCTGCTGGGACGCGCGTGAGGGCCCAGTCCGTGGACCGTGCGGCCGTGGCGAGGGTAGGTGGTGTAGCGAGCGCCAGCTTGTGCGCCCTGGTGGCGGGGGTAGTGCTGGTCCAGTACCTTATTCACATTGAAGACTGGGCGCGGAAGACCAAGATCATCGAGATGATGGAGCTTTTGAAGTTTCCAGTTTTTCCTTTTTTTTTTTTTTTCACTATTGGAAACAGTGCTGCTTTGAAGTTACTCGTACCTGCGTCCTGATACACACGTGTTAAATATATTTTTCGTAAATACCTTAGAGTGTATTTCCTGGTATATGGGGTTGGATCTATGTCTTGTCTTTTGTTTTTTGTGTTTTGCCTTTTTTTTAAATCTTTGCATTCAAATTCAATATAGCCAACCTTGAAGGGTTTTTTTGTTTGTTTGTTTTTTGTTTTTTGCTTTTTTCAATGAATCTAGCGTAGGCTTTAAATTTCCTGTATTTCACCACAAATCCACATTCCCAGTAGTGAATATCATTCTAGTTTTTGGTTTTGTTTGCTTGTTTTTACTGAGACAGGGTCTCGCTGACAGGGTCGCCCAGACTGGAATGCAGTGGCACGATCACCGCTCACAGAAGAACTGAAGCCTCAGTTTCCCCGGCTCAAACGATTCTTCCACCTCAACCTTACTGGTAAGCTGGGACTACAGGCACAGACCACCACGCCCGGCTAATTTTTGTATTTTTTGTAGAGGGAGTTTCACCATATCCGGGTTGCTCTCGAACTCCTGGGCTCAAACGATCCACCCACTTCAGTCACCCAACCTGCTGGGATTGCTGGCCTGAGCCAGCCTCAGTAGTTTCAAAATGACCTTCCAGTCAAAGCCTTGGTAATAAAACTAGTTTCTAATTGCATTCTGCTATACAGAGAGAGCAGATTTTTATTAGACTTACTGAAGTGACCTTATGACCATAAGAAGACTCACAAATGGTTTTCTAATTATGGAGGAATCAAGAGAAAGTTTTTATCTTTCTTTATGCAAGTATACTTAATCAAATTGCTGTAAATTATAAATCACTTAAGAGACAAGATTTTCTTAAATCTGGAAAACATTTGAGTTTAACGAACCTACAACATTTCAAGTAGAATAAAAACATTGTCTTCATTATTTATTTAAACTCATGTAATTAATTTTTGTTCTGCCTGATCTTGATTAATAGTTTCATGAACCTATTTTTTTTTTTTTTGAGACGGAGTTTTGCTCTTGTTACCCAGGCTGGAGTGCAATGGCACGATCTCGGCTCACCGCAACCTCCGCCTCCTGGGTTCAGGCAATTCTCCTGCCTCAGCCTCCTCAGTAGCTGGGATTACAGGCACGCGCCACCATGCCCAGCTAATTTTTTGTATTTTTAGTAGAGACGGGGTTTCACCATGTTGACCAGGTTGGTCTCGATCTCTCGACCTTGTGATCCACCCGCCTCGGCCTCCCAAAGTGCTGGGATTACAGGCTTGAGCCACCGCGCCCGGCGAACCTATTTTTTTTATTACAGTTCTGGAAATTGTTATTTTGTACATTGATCTTAAAGTTATCAGAAACCTGTATTTAAGAGTACTTTTTAGAGTTGGGCACAATGGCTTATGCCTGTAATCTCAGCAGTTTGGGAGGCCAAGGCAAGAGGATCATTTGAGTCCAGGAGTTCAAGACCAGCCTGGCCAACATAGCAAAACCCCATCTCTCCTAAAAAATAAAAAATAAAAATAAATCCATAGTGATAGTGCATTCCTGTAGTCCCAGCTACTCAGAAGGCTGAGGCATGAGAATCACTGGAACTTGGGAGGCAGAGGTCGCAGTGATTCAGGATTGCACCACTGCACTCTAACCTGAGCAACAGAGCAAGACTCTGTCTCAAAAAAAAAAAAAAAAAAAAAAAACCCAACAACAACAACAAGAGTACTTGTTAGAATATTCATATTTTACATGAATCTGTTTCTTAAAAAAAAATTCAAAACAATAACCATGAATGACAAAATCTTAAAATAGCCATGGTTAAAAATCTGATGAAGTTAACAATTGAGAACATTTATTTATTGCTATTGCATACAGTATCTTAAGATTACAACCATAAGTAAGACTGGTAATATAATAGATTTGTATGAATTTTTTTTTTTAAGATGGAGTCTCTATTGCTCAGGCTAGAGTGCAGTGGCACGTTCATAGCTCACTGCAGCCTGAAACTTCTGGGCTCAAGCAATTCTTCTGCCTCAGACTCTCAAGTAGCTGGAACTACAGGTATGTAACACCATGCTTGGATTCTTTTTCCCCAGCTAGAGATAGGGTCTTGCTTTGTTGCCCACGCTGGTCACAAATTCCTGGCTATAAGCAGTCCTCTGACTTCAACCTCCAAAAGTGTTGGGATTTATAGGCATGAGCCGTCATTCTCAGCAGACTTATATAAACTTATATAATTTTTCAAACATTCATATCAACATTCCCATAAATGCAAATAAAAGAAAATCAATTATCAGTTATTGTTTGACAATGTTTCTTATAAAATTTACCACATAACCTCTCCAAGATAAGAAAGATATCTTTTAATGCTTTCCAGGAGTCCAACTGGAAAATGCCAAAGTTTATCTATATTTAAAAAACTTAAATTGGAATGTGATTTTGAAGAAGTTTTTTAAAAGGCTCAAAACACTTTATCAATACAGAATCACAAGCTACTTGTCAAATAAGTTGTTCCTATAACCAGAGTGATAATCAAAAAGGCTTAAAAAGACAATTATGTTAAAATTATCTTAACCATTTTAAACCTCGGCTTAAAAAAAAAATCTAACAAAAAAATAAGCACAGGAAATTATGTTGATAAAATTTATAATCATTCTTAAGCCAGGTACCAAAAACTAAAGAAAAACTTTCGGCAGTGTGATTGTTTCTCCTTTGGGGAGCTCATTTAGATAACCTGGAAGTCTAATCTGATGAAAAAGGTATTTGAATTTAATCAGATACAGGAAGATGTGTCCCAGGTCATGATTATAATAATTCAGATGTATCAAGAAAAGCCAACAGTACAGAATCAAGTTACATTGAAAAAGAGCATTGATTTCTAGGCCTTCAGGATAAACATTTCAGTGTCAGGCTGTGCCAGCAGTTGGAACAAAAAAATTTACAGCAATGCTGAGAAACATTTGCCCTGCCCCCATGGCTCCCTTGTGGAGAATACCTTTTACTTTGTAATTAGTAGTAAGCAGTAACAGTTACCTACGTGGAATTTTTTTGAGTTATGAGTGAATATGGAACACCTGTTTACTAATAATGGTCACCTGTTACGTAAGAAGAACTACGTGGATGAGCATCTGTTCGGGGCCTTCAACCTGGAATGTTGTAAGCTCCTGAGGCTCTCAATAGATCCATGTTGTTGTTCTATCTGAGAATCGTCTCTCATTTGCCTTCAGCGCCGCCTGGGTGAGGGTCTCCCAGCTGAGCTGGTACTCGGTATAGCAACTGATGAAAAAATTGAAGGAGAGAGTTACCATCCCAGGCTTTCTAAAGAGGAGAAACTGACTTACAAATCAAATAGCAAACATAGCATATTAGAACCGCTGAGATATGAATCTGAGAAATTTCAAAAGTAAAACTCTACCTCAAGAAATGATATTATCAGACTGGTGCAGTGTCTGTAATCCAAGCACTTTGAGAGGCCAAAATGGGAGGATCACTTGACCCCAGAAGTTAGCGACCAGCCTGGACAACATGGCAAAATCCTGTCTCTACAAAAAATACAAAAACTAGCTGGTGTGGTTCCATGTGCCTTTAATCTCAGCTACTAAGGGGCTGAGATTGGAGGATTGCTTTAGCCCAGTAGGTTGAGGCTGCAATGAGACATGATCATCCAACTACACTCCAGCATGGACAACAAAGTGAAACCCTGTCTCAAAAAAAAAAAAAAAAAAAAAAAGCAATGAAATTGCTATTTTAAATGAAGAAGACAGCATTTTTAGGATTTTTTTTTTTTTTTTTTTTTTTTTTGAGACGGAGTTTCGCTCTTGTTACCCAGGCTGGAGTGCAATGGTGCAATCTCGGCTCACCGCAACCTCCGCCTCCTGGGTTCAGGCAATTCTCCTGCCTCAGCCTCCTGAGTAGCTGGGATTACAGGCACGTGCCACCATGCCCAGCTAATTTTTTGTATTTTTAGTAGAGACGGGGTTTCACCCTGTTGACCAGGTTGGTCTCGATCTCTCGAGCTTGTGATCCACCCGCCTCGGCCTCCCAAAGTGCTGGGATTACAGGCTTGAGCCACCGCGCCCGGCCGAAGACAGCATTTTTAAATGTGAAACTGGGGAAATTAAATACATCTCAGTGAAAATAGAAACTGCCTACAGTTTAGAAGACAGCTGTTAAAGAAATCAATTTTAGAGTTCAAAATGAAAGCTTCTTATAATTTTATTAGGAGCAGATCAATACTTCAAGAAAATCTTGTTTTAAATTTAGAAGACGAGACTCTGGTCCTGTATCAGTACACCTCCAACACCAATGTTTAAATTTTAGAAAACCACTTCTAAACTATTTATTTTTAATACCAGCCAAACTGATTATTTATAAAACTTTTCTCATAGGCCTATTTTTCATAAATGCTCTTTGACTTGTTTAGATTTTTTTTTTTCATTTTTTAACCCCCAAGTCTTTGTCCTGCCATTTTTCATTTTTTATAAAAGCCAATTATCTTATAGGACTAAAATTTACTATTCAAGATTATACAAAAGTATTTTTTCTAAATTCATTTTTTATTAATAGATTAATACAAAATATATTGTATTTTTACAATTAATAGTATTTTGTAAAAATACTAATTGTATTTGTATTAATTGTAAAAATACAATCAATAGTATTTTTGGTTTCTTAAAGTTCATAAAATTTTAAGTATATTTTAAAAATATACTTAGAACAAAAATGATTTTTAATCATGAGATAGTAAATTATATAAACTCAGATGAGAGGTGGAGCAAGATGGCAGAACAGAAGCCTTTACCGAGCATCCCCCAACAAGGACAGCAATTTAAAACTCCCTACAGAGAAAAATGCACCTTCACTAGCAGCAAAATCAGGTGATCACTCACAGTACCTGGTTTTGTTTTTGTTTTGTTTTGTTTTTGAGACAGGGCCTCACTCTGTCACCCAGGCTGGAGTGTAGTGATGCAATCTAGGCTCACTGCTACATCCGTCTCCCAGGTTGAAGCAATTCTCCTGCCTCAGCCTCCTGAGTAGCTGGGATTACAAGCATTTGCCACCATGCCCTGCTAATTTTTTTGTATTTTTAGTAGATACAAGATTTCACCATGTTGGCCAGCCTGGTCTCAAACTCCTGAACTCAAGTGATCCTCCCGTCTCGGCCTCCTAAAGTGCTGGGATTACAGGCATGAACCACTGCACCCAGCCAGTACTTGGTTTTAACTTAATATTGCTGAAAGAGGCACAGAAGAAGAAGAAAAAGTCTTGAATTGCCAGCACCACCCCTCCCACACTCCCCAGCAATGGTGGCATGGTGTAAAGAGCATTTCTGTACACTCAGGGCGGGAGAATGCAGAAAACATAAGGCACTAAACTCAGTGCTGCCCTGTTTTGGCAGAAAGAACTGGACAAAACTCAGCTGACACCTGCTCATGGAGAAAACACTGAAACCAGCCCTAAGCAGGGAATCACCAATCCCGGCAGCTGGAACTTGAGTTCCCTCAAGCCTCATGACTGTGAGCTAAAGTACTTTGGAGCTGTAAGTAAACTTGAAAGGTAGTCTAGGCCACAAGGATGGCAACAGCTTGTTGCTTTTGTCTTGTCTCTGTAAGCCCCCTCCCCTGATGGTCCCTGCTCATGCCGCATATGAATTAGCAAATCAATGAAGCTAAAAGATTGTAAGGTCTGATGTCCAGCAAATGAACAGTGACATAGTTCCGCCTCAGTGTCCCCTTTAGCACTGTAAACCTATAAAAGGGGAAAGAAGCTGTTTCTCAGGGAGCTTGGTGAATGAGGCTGTAACCTCCCACAGCTCCTGGCTGAATAAAAAGCCACTTCCTTCCTCAGTTCGGTGTGCAAGAGGTTTATTCCCCGCCACTCCTGCTTCAAGGCCAAGGTGGGCGTGGGAAGCAGCATGGAGGAGTGGGGAGAAGGGGATCTGAAAAAGGACTTGTCTCAATCAAAGTCCGTAAACCAGGTTCTATCAAATCCACCTCAAAAGATACAGGAAGTTCAAGTGTTAATGGCAAAAATCTAACATAATCCAATAAGGCTGGGCCCTAAAAAAAAAATTTCCACCTTTCATTGAGCCTGAAATAAAGGCAGTTTTGTGAATCGGAAAACTCCTGTGGTTTTGAGAGCAGTAAACTCTGGAGGCTAAGCTACGCCAGTTGTTAACTTTCACTTGGCACACACTGAGGAGGGCTAAAGAAGTAACCAGCCTTAGATCACTTGAGGTCAGGAGTTCGAGACCAGCCTGGCCAACATGCTGAAACACCCATCTTTGCTAAAAATACAAAAATTAGCCCAGGGTGGTGTTCTAGCTACTTGAAAGGCTGAAGCACGAGAATCACTTGAACCTGGGAGGTGGAGGTTGCAGTGACCGGAGATCATGCCACAGCACTCCAGCCTGGGTGACAGACAGAGTCTCAAAAAAAAAAAAAAAAAAGGAATAGAAAAGAAAGGAAGGAGAGGGCAGGGGAGAGGAGAGGGACCAGCCAAGTAAAAACACCTCCTCACCCCCATCAACATAGCAAGGCCCCATCTGTATTTTTTTTAATGATTAAATAAATAAATAAATAGAAAAAAATCCCCCCAAAATCCATCTGAGCTGATTTGAGGCCAATGGAACATCAGAGAAATTTGCTTCCAGCAGCTTCCTCTCCTCTTCTTTACCAAGAGATTCTTCAAGGGTTTCCAAGAGATTCTCCCACTCCCACTATTCCCACTATTGCCATCGCATCTAAATTCAAGAGGTTTGATGAAAAACTCTGGACTAGAAATCAGAACATTTGGTTGTAGTGCCACACCCTCCTTCTGAGCCTCAATTTCCTTATCTTTCTTTGTCTTGCATGGCCCCATAAGGTATCTGTGAGAATCAACCAGGCAATATATGGGGGCAGGGGGAGATCTGCACAGCACGATATAAATGTAAGGAATCACATCAATCTATGAGTAATAGAAGACACAACCAAAATCACTTCAATAATTAAGAATATACTATCTCCTAGAATAAGAAGTATGGAAGGGCAGCAGCACCAAGACTGGTTCATCAAATGTCTCTATCACATCCCCAAGGACCCAGGGGTCTCCTTCTGTCCTCTGCCATCCTCTTGGGGTTGGCTACTGCCCCTCACGTTTTCATCATGGCTGCCACAGATTCAGCTACCACATGCAGGCAACAACATCAGAGGCAGAAAGGGGATCTTTGACACTCCCAAGCATCATTTATTAAGAGCAAAGACAACCCTACCCTAAAAGCCACCTTATTAGACCTCTCCTCAGACCTCATTGGCTAAAATTGCATCACAGGTCCATTGCTTAAAACAATCAGTGGAAAGGGGAACAGAATTACTATGACTGGCTTAAGACAAGTCAAGATTCACCTCCAGAGAGGAGTGAAGGGGCCTCCACTCTCTAACCAGCCTCCTTTAGGATTCCTGAACAAAATCAAAGCTGGTAGTAAGGAACAGAAGGAGAAATGTCAAATGAGTTGCCAAACATTTGCCCCAGAATACCAATTAAGTTTGGTATCTGCCCTTCCTCCCTCAGTCTTTCATACCTGCAAGCCTAAAATAAAGCACATTGTCTGCCAATTTTACCTCTGATCCTACTGGTTACCAACTATTGATGGTTAGAAATAGTTTTTCTTTTTTTGAGACAGGGGCGTACTCTGTCACCCAGGCTGGAGTGCAGTGACACAATCATAGCTCACCATAGCCTCCACCTCCTGGGGTCACACAATCCTCCCACCTAAGCTCTGCAAATACCTAGGACTACAGCCACAAGCCACCATGCCTGGCCCTTGAAGTAATTTTAACAGCTGGTTTTAGTACATGACCAAGGGGCATCTGATGTTTCTGCCGCGCTGCAGAAGACTGTCAACATGCACATTGGCAGGCTCACTTCATCACGAGAGTTCCTTGAAGACTAGTATTTTGGGTAGGAAAAAAAAGAAAGATTTTGCAATGTACTCTCTAATCTAGACACATATTAGAATGTGATCTTTCCCTTCTACTACTGTTTTCCTTTCCCCATCTCCCCAGTGTTGAAAGGTCATTAGTAAGATAAGAGCTAGTAAAAATACACCTTAGCAGCAAAACAACGGTGTCAAGTTTACACTGTGAAGGGTGGTCAATACAAGCAGGAGGAAGTCTACTCTTTTTTTAGTTGTTCCATTCTGAAAGGTTTAAAACCTGTCCAGTAGCACAGACTAAGGACCAAGTTCAGCTGCCCCAGCACAATTGGGCCAACACCAACGCTGCTTGGCTGGCTTCAAGAATGAATCTCTGTTATCTTGGAGGCGGGGGGTGGGGGGGGCAGAAGAATAAAATGAAAAACAGAGGGGTTCATAGGCAGGAGGGTACAACAGAAAGAGCACAAAGAGAAATCAGCAAATAACAAATTACAAAAGAATTTTAAAGTCAGCTCCCAAACTGCCATAGCAGCCTTACGAATCATACTCCTTTCTTCCCCTGAAAAGAGGTTGCCCAAGATGGACATGAACTCAATCCAAGTGTATAACTCAGGTCCTAAGAATTGGTCAATTTGATCTGCCACTCTGTAAGGGTCATCTAGTAATGGCTTAAGCTCCTTTTTTAAATTCCGGACTTCTGAACTGGTTAACGGAGCATTTACAAAGCCAATGCCCACTGCCCCCCAACCTGGTGGTACCTCTTTCAAAGGGAAGAGAGTCGGGGCTGACTCTTTAGGTGTGGAGGGAAGTGGGAGATTCTGAATATCTTTTTTACATTGTTCTGCCTCATGCTGGAGTCCTGTTAGAGGGGTGTTTAGGTTGGGACGGAACAGGCTTGTGGGATAGTAATTCCCAAGAGTCAGGGTTATAAGGAAGAGGGATAACATGAGCAGGGGAGGAATTCCAAATGGGATCTGAAGTGGCAGCAGCTGCTTAAGGAGGAGGATTGGGGACGCTGAGTGGGGGAAGATACCCTAGGGGATCCCATGCACTGGACTCTTCAGACACGGGAACTGGCTTCTCGGACTTTTCATTCTGAGGTGCCAGATTGGATTCTTCCCTATTTGTTTTTACGGGAAAAAAAGAGGACAAGTCTCTGCCTCCAACAAAGAGCATGGTCCAGTTCTTCTTGAGACACTGGACTTCTATTATTAACATACTGGATTAGAAGCTTACATCTTCATTCGACCCAAGCGTTGGCCGGATGATTGAGGGTTTGAGGATGGGTCCTTGAGTCCAAATAAAACAGCAGTATTTTATCATCTCTTGCTTTTTCTTATATTTAGTTCTTTCACTATCCTTCCAGTATTTTAACATGAGACCTAGGGGGGTATCGAGGGGAATATCCTTGTTACCATCTTTGTCCTTCTTGCTCCCTGTCTTGGTTGGGGTATTCCCCATCTTCCTAGTCTTGGGGTGAGGTCCAGTTTCCCCTATTGGAAATTTCTTGCCTCTCCTACTATTAGAGGTTTGTGTGAGGTTCAGTCCCCCCCAGTGGAGATGTCTCACCTCTTTTTAACCTCCAAGCCACCCCAACCAAGAATACTTCACCTCCCCCCTGCAGCTTTTCTTGCCTTGATATACTCCGACCAAGGAATAGTTTTCTGCCCCTCCCACGGCTTTTTTTTTTTTACCTTGGTCCCTACCACCAAGAAAATACTTGAGCAGCTCCCTCAGCATCTTTTTCTTGGTCCGTACACAGAATTGCTTAGTTGCTGCAGCTTTGTAGACCTTCTTTTTTCCATGTTGCTGAGAGGCTGGGCTTGTTCATCACATCGGGTAGGTCTCCATCCCTTGCCCAAGAGGCTGCTGTAATATGAAGCAGCAGGACACGTCTCCTTACAAGAGAGGGTCCGAGACCACCCAGAGGAGAACAGTGAATCCCAGAAAAGCCCCCAGAATGGTTGTAAGTAAAATTTCAATGCTGCAAAAAAAAAAATAACACTCAAAGATAAATCCTCTTAGCAAGGCAGTTTTCTTCTATAGAAGGGTGTGGCCCATGGATGGAACAATGGTGACCACACATTTGGACAAGTGGGGAAAAGGGGTATTTATGTCTGACCAGGGTCGCCTCTACTGCTGTGTCATTCCCCTATTGGCTAGACTGCACAAGCTAGACTAATCCCGATTGGCTATTGGGGTCTGAGCCAGAGTGGCAGGATGGGTGGTTTTGCAGGAAGGACAGTTACCAGCAGGTCAGAGCAGGTAGCCAGGGGTGACCTAGGTCAAAGAAGGTGACCAGAGCAGGTGACCAGAATGAGTCAGGATGCAGCTGGGGGTCAGGGGAACAGATGTGAGCTACTGATTAGAACCGATGAAAAAGGTTGTTTACTGGAACTACAAGGAAGTTGAACTTTAAAATGAAGAACAAATAACTGAACATAACAACGTACTGATTCTTTGAAGAGAAATTTAGAACTCGTTGTATCCAATAATTCTAAAAATTATATAACCTAGATGAAAAAATAAAAGAAAAAGAAGATAATCTAGATGAAATGAAAAACCTAGACAAAATAGAAATGAAAAACACCAAAACTACCAAGACTAAATCATGGAGAAATAAAAAATATGATTAGTTTTATAACTAGTAGGATTGAATCAGTAATCAAAAAATCTCCCAACAAAGAAAAGCACTAGCTCTGATATCTTCACTGGTGAATTTTACCAAACACTTAAAGAACTAACAACAATCCTTTTCAATCATTTCTAAAAAGTTGAAGAGAAGGGAAAACTTGCTAACTCATTCTGAAGCCAGCAGTAACCTGATACCAAAGTCAAAGACACTACCAGCTAAAAAAAACTACAACCCAATATCAACATTGCAAAAATTCTCAACAAAATACTAGCAAAATGAATTTAATACCCTATTAA